TAGGGGATGGTTCCCCTCCCACTTCAGCCCACGGGGCCCTCCGGGATAGGTGGCCCCACCCGGTGGACCCACGGGACCCTTCCGGTGGTCCCGGTACAATACCGGGTGACCCCAAAACTTTCCCGATGGCCGAAAAGCACTTCCTATATATAATTCTTTACCTCCGGACCATTCCGGAACTCCTCATGACGTCTGGGATCTCATCCGGGACTCCGAACAACTTTCAGTATGCTGCATACTCATATTCATACAACCCTAGTGTCACTGAACCTTAAGTGTGTAGACCCTACGGGTTCGGGAGACATGTAGTCATGACCGAGATGGCTCTCCGGTCAATAACCAACAGCGGGATCTGGATACCCATGTTGGATCCCACATGCTCCTCGATGATCTCATCGGATGAACAACGATGTCGAGGATTCAAGCAACCCCGTATACAATTCCCTTTGTCAAATGGTATGTTACTTGCCCGAGATTCGATCGTCGGTATCCCAATACCTCGTTCAATCTCGTTACAGGTAAGTCACTTTACTCATACCGTAATGCATGATCCCGTGACCAGACACTTGGTCACTTTGAGCTCATTATAATGATGCACTACCGAGTGGTCCCAGTGATACCTCTCCATAATACGGAGTGACAAATCCCAGTCTCGATCCGTGTCAACCCAACAGACACTTTCGGAGATACCTGTAGTGCACCTTTGTAGTCACCCAATTACATTGTGACGTTTGGTACACCAAAGCACTCCTATGGTATCCGGGAGTTACACGATCTCATGGTCTAAGGAAGAGATACTTGACATTGGAAAAGCTCTAGCAAAACGAACTACACGATCTTGTGCTATGCTTAGGATTTGGGTCTTGTCCATCACATCATTCTCCCAATGATGTGATCCCATTATCAATGACATCCAATGTCCGTAGTCAGGAAACCATGACTATCTGTTGATCAACGAGCTAGTCAACTAGAGGCTCACTAGGGACATGTTGTGGTCTAAGAATTCACACGTGTATTACGATTTCCGGATAATACAATTATAGCATGAATAAAAGACAACTATCATGAACAAAGAAATATAATAATAATCCTTTTATTATTGCCTCTAGGGCATATTTCCAACACTTCGCGTGATCTGAAGTACTATTTATTACCTTTTCATCATGTGTGTGTTTGGCTATTGTGTACATGTCGTGGAATTGTCACGTCAGATGTCCTCGTGAAAGGACTTAGTTGTGGAGCCATCACAACTAGGAAGCTTGAAGGGGTTAATCGGGACAAAGGACACGAGAGGTTTTATACTAGTTCGGCCCCTTACGGTGAAGGTAAGGCCTACGTCTAGTTGGGTTGGTATTGATGTTTCGATGACCAGGGAGGGAAATATGCTATGCCTGGCTCTTGATGAGTTTTTTCTTGCCCTAAGCCGCCAGCGGGTCGTCCCCTTATATACACGAGTCGACACCCTGCGGCTTACAGAGTCTCGGCCGGCTTATAAACAATGTCCGGCTCGGTGACTAGTTAAGTCTACCTTATGATACAAGTAATATTATTACAGCAGTTTATTACAACGGGCCTTAAGTCGCCTACGGGCCTTAAGCTCTCTATGAACCGCCATCTTCATACTTTGGTCTTGGGCTTCTCTCTGGTGAGTCCTCTTTGCATAGCCCGGCCCCTCCTGGGCGGCTTACACAAATAGTTATATCCCCAACATTAGGCCCCAGATTGATTTGAACCTATTCATGTCAATCTTAAAATACCTTATGGACTATCCTGCAGTCCTTTGTCTTGAATCAAGAATTTTAACCCGTCGTGACGTCATCATCTGGATCCGGGTTAAGTCATCATGACGTCATCTTCAATTAAAATTAATTTTTACTCCGTCGTATCTTGAACGGATCTTTGTCTTTACTGACCATCCCGAGAATCGAGGCGCCAGAGCCACCGCATAATAAATGTCATCTCCTCGTCTTTCGCGCCCTCTCGGTCAGTCTTCCTTATAAATAGAGCGACCTAGGTCTTTTCCCCAGTCGTCTTCTTCCTCTCCTCTCTGCCACTCGAGCTCCGCCGATGTCGCCATCGACTCCCTCATCTTCATCGACTCAGGCCGCTGCATCGACCTGACCTTGACCAGAGATCGACGGCGAACCTCCGCAGCTCGTCCTCATCTGTGAGTTCCTTTCATTCCCTTTCTCAGATCTCCATTAAGTCTTTACCGAGTTCATTGGTGTTCATCACTGGCCGACACCAAACCCTCGCTAGTTCCTTCCAATGCCCTGTTTAGATCGTGAAAACCACATAGAACTACTGTGGTGTTTGTTTGTGATGATCTTGCATAAAAATAGATCTCCTTTCCCTTGTTCAGAAACCCTCTTCGAGTGCATGAACTTCTCTGCCTCGTTTTAGGTCTAGAAAATTTCCTTTTCAGAGCAATATTTTGATCCAGAATAATAACTGTTAGCTGTGAAACTTGCTTTTATCACCCGGAAAATCTCTTCTGGTAAATGCCCTGAAACACAACTGTCGAGATGTCCGGGTTAAATAAATGATACAGAACCTTGACTGCTCCTCATGACCCGGAAAAAGTTTGAATTGCACTTGATACTTTTAGCGGCTTAAATATTGTTGCACAGTCATCCTTATATCATTAGGCCCCTCATTAAGCCGCCACTTTAAATAATCAAGATTTTCCTCCCGGGTTAAAATTGAACCGGATCTTCTTGTTTTTCCATAGGCCAATTGTTGTGATGGCTCCTAAGGCTACCAAGGCCCCTGTAACTTGCAATTGGGTTCCATCCATAGTGACCAACAGCAAACTAGCTGAATTTGTGAAGTCTGGACATCTGCCAAAAAAGGATGTCATGTCTTACCGTGCCCCTGACCCGTCTGAAGAAAAGCCTCATCCCAAAGTAGGGGAAGTAATAATTTTTACGGATCATATGAGCCGTGGATTTTCTCCTCCCGGCTCAAAATCCTTCAGGGAGGTTTTGAATTTCTTTGACCTTAGACCTCAAGACATCGGACCCAATTCCGTGTCAAATATTTGTAATTTTCAAGTCTTCTGCGAGGTGTACCTGGGAGAGGAGCCAAGTCTGCTTTTGTTCAGGGAAATTTTTTATATGAACCGGCAAAATGAACGTGCCAACGGGCCCAGTCTTGAGCTTGGCGGCATCTCAATACAGCGACGGAGAGATTGTCTATTCCCTTATGCCGAGCTACCGAGTCACCCCAAATCTTGGAACCAGACATGGTTCTACTGTCAGGACACTTCTCCGGCTGATGAAAAACCTCTCCCGGCTTTCGCGCCCTGCGCCTTGAGTCTAATCATCCGCTACCAGACAAGCTGACAACCCTTGAACGCGTGCCTCTTAATTCCACCATCAAGAAGATAAAGGCTCTATTGGGAAATGGTTTAAACGACATCGATCTGGTCCGAGTCTGGGTCACTTGGCGTATACTCCCGTCCCGTCTCATAGATGTATATATGGTTGAATTTCAGGCCAGAGATACCGAGGCCAAGTTGCTACAATCGTTTGTATTAAATCAAAACAAAGCTATAATACTCTTTCCTTACAACTTCAAGTGAGTGTTACTGTCTTGTGCATATTCGGTTTCCCTTATTAGTCGAGGTTATAGTAATGTAATTGATGAGTTATGCATGCGTGCGCAGCTTCCACTATATTTTCCTAGAGATTAAGCTTGAGCAGGGGCTAGTAACTGTCTTAGACTCGAGACGAAAAGA